TTGAATACCTGTATGAGGGAGGGATATTTTTCTCCATCCCTCAAAATATCGAAAGTAATCCCAATATTCAAAAATGGTGATAAAAACCTGGTTCAAAATTATCGGCCTATTTGAATCGTTCCTATTTTTTCCAAAATATTTGAAGCAGTAATGTATGATCAATTAAATAATTACTTTGAAACAAATAACCTATTATCAAACTCCCAATTCGGCTTTCGTCGAGGTAAATCCACAACCTCAGCAATTCTCACTTTAGTTGACCATTCTCTCGATAATTTAGAAAGGAAAGAATCTGTGTCATTAGTCTTATGCGATTTAAGTAAAGAAAGCTTTTGACACGGTTCCTTTTGATATCCTAACTAACAAACTACGTTTTTATGGCATAACTAATGATGCCATGCTTCTAATTTCTTCGTATTTATGTAATAGATTTCAATTTGTATCGATTAAGAATAAATTTCTAAAACTGAAAAAGTTGAAACCGGTGTTCCTCAGGGCTCTGTACTAGGGAAATTTTTCTTGAACGTCTACATTAATGATCTTCCTATAAATATAAATACACAATCTGTTATATATGCGGATGATACAACTTTACTCGCTAACCATTCTAATTTAACAACCCTGCGCTTAATTAGTCAAGAGGCTGAACATAGAGCATATGATTGGTTTTCTGCAAACAGACTATCTTGTAATTCTGATAAATCACAATATATAACAATCAGTCTCAAAACAGAGGTAAAATTTGAATCAGTTAAACTTTTAGGATTTAATTTGGATTCAAAATTAAATTGGTCATCACACATAAAATCTGCTTGAAACAAAATTTCAAGAGTGAGGTGCTTGCTGTGGAAACTTAAGGATTTAGTTAGTCAAGAATATTTAAGATTGGCATATTTTGGACTCTTTAATCACACATACTATATGGTCTTATTTTGTGGGGCCACTCTCCACATATTAATGACATCCTTTTTACTCCAAAAAAAGGTGGGTCGAAGCATTGCTGAAGAATGCTCAGATGCACACTATAAACCCCTTTTCATTAATTTCAGAATACCAACCATAGTAAATCTTTATATATTCCAAATTCTAATATACATACAAAGTCAAACTTAGATCAATTCTCTTTCCGAAAAGACATACACAAACACTATACAAGAGGTAGGGATAAAATAGATATTATATTGCAGCACAGATTAGCAAAAACCAAACATTCACATAAATTAAATTGTATAATTTTTTTTAAGCTGCCTGAAGAAGCAAAATAAGTTTCTTACAGTATTTTTAAAAATAAACTGTATGACTGGATTGTTAAAAATCCCTTTTACGAAATTGATGATTTTTTAAGTTGTGAAATAAATATTAGATTTTGAAGAGTAAGTTGAAATAAAGCTTTTATTTTCATGTAAGTGGCTATTTAAATTTAGATATATTGTACTGTAAACACTGAATCACCTTGAATCTATGTATAACAAATGACGTGTCGTATTTATTTTGTAAAGATCAATGGAAATAAACATTTCTTCTAATTTTTATTCTTAACCCTTACTTTAAAATATGATACGGTACAAATATTTTAACAAAATCAGTTTATACAATAAAACAAAACAGAAATCATAGATACAGAAACTTTTAACAAAAATCTGTAAATTTTAAATTTTACAAATACTTACGTGAACACAAACGCGCACACACACACACACACACACACACATACATACGTGTCAGCGATCGCCCATGCTCACAAGTCCCTAGGAAAACCTACCATGGCCATGCTTTTTCAAAATAGAGAGTTTTTAGTGCTGCCACATACCGGGAACGACTATCGAGGGATTTAATAGTTAAAGGGAGATCGTTCCAAAGACAGCAAGCAGTTATAACAAACGCTCTGTCGTAAACTCCGGTCCTATGGTGAGGCATACGCAAAGTCAATGATGCATGGCGTGAGTATTTAATACTTTCTTCAGCTACAAACCTAAAATCATCCACAAAATATGTTGGAAAATTGTTTTTTAAACCCTTTACGGACGGGTGACGGATATATCAGCCTAAGTCTTTGGCGATAAAGGACGGGTGGCAGATATATCCGCCTTCTCTTCAGACAGACTGGCAGGTGCTTGAGCAGTAACCAGATGTTTTGCGTGTAAAGTTCTTTTATTAGTCTATGGGTGTTGGTAAATAAATAATGTCCAGGGTTTACAATAGTGAACACATATAAACTTTTTATTTATTTAATTGTACAAATATGGTTATAAATTTAGATGAAATTCTTATCTCAGGGTTCTAGGAGTACCGTGCCGGCTCAAAGTAGGCTTATGTGATTTTGGATAGGCATAAGCCTAATGTCCATCAAAAGTTACAGTTCAATTAGGTAGGCTATACACTTTTGAAAAGATGAAAGTTCAAATTTTGAATTTAGTAAAATGATAATTTAGGTTAAAGTTCAAAAACGGCAGAAGTTAATAGAAATTTTGCAATGTAAGTATTTTAGGAAAGTAGGCCTAAGTCAAGTTCAGTTTGATCTCACCCAAAAGTTTATACAGTCTTCACCACAAATATTTCTTGATGTAGTAATGATAGGTATTAAGTAATTGAGATAAATCTCGAGGTTTAAATAAAAACTGTTAAGTTAAATCACCAATTAAAATTTTCAAATCAGATTCCTTACTTGCTTCTTCATCACTTACTATGCAATTGAAAATCTTGATGTTAAATTTCATACATCTGTTTCAACAATTAGTTCACTGGTTTCTTGATGTCACTATTCACTGCTACTTTTATGATTGGTTGGTTGGTTATGTATCGAGAGTATTTTAATTATACTTTTGAAAGTGAAAGAGAAGAATAATTTTGTAAAATAATTCAAACTGTATAAATAACTTCCAGTGATTACAAATTTCAGCTTATTAAATGATAAAGGATAGTGTTTGATGAGAATGTGAAATATGGGAATTTACAATAGGTGAAACCTTTTGCCCTTTTACTGTATGTAAACACATGTGATAATTTAGAGGTATTAATTTAGCTAATAGTAGGCCTAGGTGTTTGGATACATAACACATGGTTTATAAACATACAACTTATATACAAATTCAAAAGTAAACAATGAGGATAATTTTGGAACATCTCACGCGGTACTAAGGCGCCACTTTCCTGCTCTCTCCATGGCTGCGCTCTCTCCCGCACTCCCCCCTCTCTCCCACGCCTACCCCTCTCCCGCGCACCAACCACCTCTCCTACGCTCCCCCCTCGACGTTTTGTGCTCAACCCTACATTGTCTTTATTTATTGTTTACATATTGTTCTTTTATTTATTGCCTAACGTTGTCATGGTCACATCTTCAAATACGGGTGGCGGATATATCCGCTGCTTTTCTACTCATCCGCGGACGGGTAGCGGATATATCTGCATAGTTAAAAACGAGTAAAAAATTATTTTGACAATATGAAGTGATCCATTGTGTTAATTTTATGTATACTTGTATAACAATACACAAATATGGTAAATTAAATTTAATTTTTTCCTATAATTTTTACCTGTTCTATGTCACAATTTTGCCTATCCGGGAAGGGTTAATATTTAATAGGTTAGCAAAAGAATTTTGATTGATCCCATGTCACATAGCTTTAATAACTTATAATGAATGTAGAAAGGGGTGATGTGCTCACTGCGTCTTAGATCATAAGTGAATCTTAGGCAGTAGTTCTGAGCGTGTTGGGAGAGCATCAGCGAGGTTTTGTCATGTCATTGATCACAGAGTTGCAGTAAGTGAAGTGGGGAAAAACAAGTGATTTAACCAGGTGTAACTTTATGTGCAAAGGCAAGAAATGTTGTAACTTTTTAAGTGAGTGGGTTAATGCAAACACCTTTTTACGGCAGTCTACAACCACATTGCCCCAAGTAAGTGTCGAGTTGATAGTAAGTCGTAAGTTTTGACCTTGAACATGTGGCATTTGCTGAGCTCTGAGCAGCTACTTGCTGAATCACAACTGGTGAACTAGTGTGGATGGGTGTGTTTGGACGTAGAAAATTAGCATTAGGGGTGGATAAAGTTCAAAAGTTCTTGAACATTTCCAAAAGGTTTTTGGCTGAAAAATTCTTTCTTTAAATAGATTTGGCCTGCTGATTGGTGTGTGTCCGAACGAGATGAGTTTTTAATCTGATAGGAGAGGTCTGTATTATAGGGCTGCTAAGCACTACGGTTTTCCCTAGTAGTTAAACATCACTACCAGCAAAGTTTCCTTGACATCAATTGCTGTCTCTGTGGAAACTATGAACATCCAATGACAGTTTTGTTGTGCAAACATGTACGGCCTTCTTTGAACCCTCTTGGCTACATTTATATATGCACAATTTTTAAAATGAAACACTTTTCTGCTAATATATCTGTCAACTGGAAAAAGATTTTGTCTGGGGTTGACCCCATTCTTATAGAAACTAATCTCAGAACGTGATACGTACTTGGCTGGAGAATAAATTTTCCTTCACAAGGTGTTTGTATGTCATGCCAAGAAAAATATACCAATATTATTGGAGACTGACTAGATTAGAAGTGGAAGAAGTAAGGAGCACAACACTGGTCACAAATTTGAGCTAACATGCTTGGATGCGACGGGAGCTTGGTGGAGACCTTAAGTTAATATACGGACAACTATCATTTTATCTTAGCTCGTTTTGTGCATTTTAAACTTTATAAACTTGATTTTATTTTCATAGGAATAGTGCAACAAAAAGTAAAATTAATGGGACATAATTAGGTTTCATGTAAATGTCTTATACAAATAAACTGTTAACAACAAAACACACATTAATATACCCTATTTAATTAGCTTTAAAAATTACTAATTTTACTAAAATTGCATTTTTTATGAAGGTTTCGTTAAAACTGCACGTTACATTACAAAATTGCTTTAATTTAAAGCTGTAACCACCAGTGTAAATTGAAACCTGATGTAACTTAGAACAGTTCTCTGTATAGAAAATTGGGGATTTTTAATACTTACCAGATTGTATTCTCTCCTTGACAATGTACCTCCGTTCAGAACCTTCCATACAAGAATGGATGAGACTTTGATGTCAATAAAGAGTAGTTTGAATCCATGGTAATAATGACGAACCTCGTCCATTATTTTTTGACCAATGGACTTCTTCACAATGACTGTTTCTTTATTTACAGAAGGTACAGCACTAGCTACATCTGATTTCTTTTCTGTTAATACCTCTTTGGCTTTCTCTTTAATTGCTTCAGTTGTTTCTTCAATTTTTGATGAGGGTCTATTGGGTTCCCCAAACAAATGGCTGGTAGTTTGAAAAGTCCTAATATATTGATGATGACTAAATCTGACAGATACCTCTGGTTTACTGGTAAGGCATGTCCTGAAGGGAGCATTTTGATGCTGTGTCGATATATTCAAAATGTAAATTGGAGGAAGGATATTTTTTGGCACAGTAGTACTGTAATGGAGATGGTTCAGAACAAGACATCCCAATTTTTTGTTGCGTTCCATTGTTAATTTACATTTGCAGCAACCTAGAATCAATGAAAAATATCAGGGGGCCATCAAAATACAGTAGACCTTATCTGGACTACTTGGGACCGAGGACAGTCATGATAACAGTTTTTCTAGTTAAACCAACGTCCCCAAAAACTCGTTAAAACGGACTGTTTAAATGCATACTGTACTGTATTTGACTTAAATTTAGGAGAGCATTGTATTTAGACACGTAATTACTGGTCTAAAATCTTTCCCACGAGAACAGTCGTTTCAGTACCGCCCACTTCCTGCCGATCTAGTCCGGTTAAACCGATGTGCTGATAAAATTGTCCGGTTAAAGATATGTCGTTTCCGCTGAGTGTAGTCCGGTTAAAAGGTGTCTGGATAAGAGGGAGTCTACTATAATACATATTTTTGGGTTGAACAGTAGAAATAACTTAAACAAACAACAAAACTATTTAAGTTTATCTTAAATATTCATTGTTCAAGAATAGGCATGCGGATGATTTATTCCTACCACCATATTAAATACCCCCGCTGAAGCAAACCTACAGACTAAGCGAATTTCCATTCACCAGTATTGGATTTTCAATTAAATCTTTTTAAATAACATTAGGTTTAACAAGTACCATGGTTTGCTGCTACAGGGAAGGTAATAAAGTGTGATTTTGGTAAAATATTAATAGCTTAGTATAAAATAAATAAATTTGCCAAGTTTGATCAAAATATATACATTAACAGGCAAAATACAACAGTTTACTTAGTCTCCATAAGAATAACATGGGAATTTTGAATTTACAATTTATTAAATTTTCTTTGTAACCAAAAACTGCACAAAAACACTCCAATGTACTAAATTATTTGTTTTTAAGCTCTTTGAAATATTGTAAAGAGAAATTGGAAAATTTTATGTTTTGATGGTCAAAAATGAGAAAACCAAATTTTAACCCAATAACACCCCGTTCCCATAGTCCGATTATAGTGGTCCGCGAACTCATTCAAGTTTATCCCGCCTTACACCTCCAAGCCAAAATTACTCAACTAATAGCGTTCACGGACGTATATACAAATATATGTACATATATATATACATATATTATATACATATTATATATATATATACATATATTAAAATTTGAACGAATAGCGTTTTTGGCCTCTAGGGACATCAAAATGAAAAAGTATAGCCTATCAGTCCCGGGCCTGGGTCTTACCCAGCGAACACAGAATAAAAATAGAAGGGCCATGCGCTATACAGGGTGATTGATATAAGTGTGCCAGCCGTTTTATTCGCAAACTATAAGAGATATCAAAAAAAGTTAAATGGTAAGTGCCTTGGATTTTTTATTTAAAAAATTATAGTCAAGTCAACAAATTTATTTTAGCCGCCATTTTTTCAATATGGCCGCCAACTTTGATTTTTCTTACGGAATACCCTGTATTTTATGATGTATTCTGGTAGAAAAATTAATTTTAAGACGATTTTATTCTTGTGATTTTTTTCATAAACCTAACCGTTTTAAAGATAATAATGGTTAAAGTTTTGAAATTTCTGCATGAGAAAGAGTTTCGAAGCAAGCATGCGCTGTTTAGCTCGAAAACCATTCAAAATTTCACAACTTAAACCATTATTATCTTTGAAACGGTTAGGTTTATGAAAAAAATCATAAGAATAAAATTGTCTTAAAATTACCTTTTCTACCAGAATACATCATAAAATACAGGGTGTTCCATAAGAAAAATCAAAGTTGGCGGCCATATTGGAAAAATGGCGGCTAAAATAATTTTTTTGACTTGACTATAATTTTTTTAATAAAAAATCCAAGGCACTTACCATTTAACTTTTTTTGATATCTCTTATAGTTTTCGAATAAAACGGCTGGCACACTTATATCAATCACCCTGTATACAACCATTACTAGGATTGTCGCCAGTCCGCCATCTTTGGGGTGGCATCAGGTTGAAAGTAGCGCTTAGAAACGGAGAATTTTGTAGTGCGCGCTTTTCATTAACACCGCTGTTTGACATACTTAGAGTCAAGATAAAAATTTGAAACTCAGCAAAATTAAACTATATTAATTGTGGATGCTAATGGTGCAATTAAAAGTATTAATTCTAACCTCAATGCAATCTTAATACCTAGTTGAAGTTGACTGTTTGCAGTAATGTTTAAATCGTGACATGAAAAAGTTACTCAGTGAGGAAGTTTTTTTATTTTTTGGTCAGGAAAGTTTCGTCTGTGGAAAAGGTTTGAGAGCATGAGTTAAACCTTAACATATGTTTTTGGGGGAATTTTACGATCTTTGGTAATCAAAATAAATTAAGTTGAAGAGGGAGTAATATCCGTCCTACGGTGCGGCGAGGACCAGGCGCTGAGCGCTGCCACTGCAACCAGGTTCTTGCATAAATAAATACAAACTAAATATACGTAAATAAAATAAAATTTATAATAATAAACCTAAACTAAATAAACATAAATTTTCATGTGATACAGGCATGTGAATCGTAAATGGAGAATTGCAACTTCATGCATAAAAAAGAGATAATGGAAATACAAAGTTTGGTCGTTACCGACGTGTATTTATTTTTAAATAATGGTTTATTACTGTATTGTGTAGCTTATTTTAGAAGCTTGAAAAATATGTTAGCTTTATACACAAACTTACAGCCTTACTATTCAACCGATTAAAACCTCTCTTCTTTTAGTTTTGAGATTTGAATGGCGGTGCAATCTTACAGTGAAGTATCTTTTACAAACAGATTTTATTAAAAGAAGTATAATATGGCTATGTTCAGATTCCATTTCAAAATAGTGCTCTCCTGTTTTGAGGCATTTGCAAGACGTACAATATAAAGTAAAACATAAAACAAGCAGGGTGTGTGCGACTATGCCAACGAATACGGTACGGTGTGCGCGCACCACTACAGTGACTCATCCGCAGCGGACGCCATCTTGGTGGCGGCAGCGGTGTAAAAGTGGCGACAGCTTTCGTCTCGAGTGGCCCTTCTATTTTTATTCTGTATTCGCTGGTCTTACCGTGCCACCTAAGGCAATAGCTACCACCCCCCTTCCTTAAGGGAAATTAGCTAAAAGGAACATGAATGATTTGTATATGGTAGGCCTAACTCAAACTATAGTACCTAACTCAAATTTTCACATAATTTCCTTGAAATGTGGTACCTTGGTAATTATCATTGCTAAAAGTAGTTTTATAAGTCTATGATTTGATATCCTTGATAAGCAGAATATTTGCAACCAATAATATAAACCTCTTTTAGAGTAGAACCTCGACACTCTTTATATTTCAACTTGGGCTGTGACGACGTGACATACCAACAGCGACCAATGACTGATTTGCCAAGGTCAGTTATCGGAGCCCATTTATCGTTTGCGTACATGCACACTACCACCATTTCTATAAATAGCTACCCTTCCTACCCTCCCCTGTCTTTCACAGTAAGTGGATCAAATCAGATCGCTTGACACTCTGCAGAAGTTATGATTTGCTTTTGTTTTCTTTTAAACTGAATGTTAGGTTTTGCTGACATAAGATGTAATCAATTAACTGAACTGTTTTGTTATTAATTTGATTTGAATCTTGGCAATGAACTTGATCAATGAATGCCAACTGTGGTAATTATATCAATCACAGACATCTTGTTAAAAAAGTATTTTTCCCACTATGGAGATACTAAATAACAACCTGAATACAAAATTGATTGACGTTTTCCCTAGGAAACATCATCATTTTCCTATATAGACATCGAATTGAGTCAACCTATGATTTGTTTACGTATTTAATAGGCTAAATGAAACTGGCCTAGGGCCAATCAATATTTGGGTACAGTTCCGCAGAGAACCTGCGATATATTATCTATTTTGATTCGGTTCAATATATTGTTTCTACAATAGGCTATAATTTGTTTATGTAACCATCGAATTGAGTTATTATCTATTTACTTTTTTACTGATCTAGGTAAACATAGCCTAAAATGAATATATCAATAACTTAAGATAGGTACACAAACAAAAGGTAATTAAGTTATAGGTTTTAAAATTGTTGAAATTTCACGCTGGTTCCAAAAATGATTGTATCAAAAACGACCCATTTACCCAGAAAATCGGTATAACCCAAAAAAAATTTTATGGAAAATGACATTGGGAATGGGCCTACTGAAATTGTTCAGGATTTGATCCTGAACAAGAATATGTCATTTTTATTATGATCTGACCACTACTATAGGCTAAGTTAAATATCGCCGGAAAAGCCAGCCCTTAGCTACTCCTTTGCTACCTCCTTTGTTTTTTTGAATTTTCCTAAGATAGAGAAGTAGCTATTACCGTAGGTGGCACGGTAAGACCTGGAGCCGGGACCGATATGCTTTTTATTTTGATGTCCCTAGACGCCAAAAACACTACCTATTCGTAAAAATTTTTATTTATGAATATAGGCTATATGGGTGAATTTCAAATAGAGAGAGAAAATGAAAGCAGAAAAAGAATATTATTTTGTTAAAATACATTCTTTATTGACCCAATAATAAACAAAGTGTTACATTATACATTGCTAACCACAGCAGAGCTTCAATGTAAGTTTTTCTATTTTTTTATGAATATTTGTCTTATCAACTACAAAGACAACAAATATCAGGTCCCTAACGTTCCTAAGTCCCTAAGTCTGAAAAAAATAGTAAATTCCTTTGAAAATTAAAAACAATGTTTATAAACATCTAACTTGTTTCCTGAATAATGCATATATCATATAATTAAAATTAAAATTTTTGATCATAGGTATGTAAAAATAAAACATTAATAATGGGAACAACCTGAAATGTTCACGTTTTTTATTAAAAATTTGGAATATTTAAGTATTTTTTTCTTTACTAATTTTTAACTACTTTGACCAAAGAGAGAACAAACCATTAAAAATAATACATCAATAGTGTAATATATTTTTTTAAATTAATTTTATATTAATTTTCGTGAGCGTTAGCGATCTGATGTGGCGTTAGTGACCTGATGCGGCGCTAGCAA